CTGATCTCTCTCTCTCTCTCTCTCTCTCTCTCTCTCACACACACACACACACACACACACACACACACAGAGAGAGAGAGAGAGTTCTAAAATTGACTCATCTGGGCTGGGACGGCTTCTGCTGTCAAAGCATCACAGAACGAATTCTGCATATCCTGCTTCATTTGGCTGTAGCTTGTGATAAATTTACATTGTTTAGCGGAAGCTTCCTTGGGCTGTTAGATTCTGAAGTTAAAATGGAAAGCACTTCAGTTGCTCATCAGATTTTATTCACCCGAACAAGCCCTGGGCCTGAAGGTCATGGGAATGGATGGGCTTGCAATACACCCTATCAGGATCACCAGAAGCCTTGATGGAGGAGTCTGCAAGTGCTCCCCCCCCCATCTATAGCTCTGGGTGGGATGATGCTACCCAAGAAGAAACAGACGCACAAGCTGTTGAGTAGGACTACCACAATTTGCTCTTCACAGGGCTGCCCTGGAAGAAGGTTCAGAAACGTGTGTGTGTGTTTGTGTGTGTGTATAAAGCATTCAGCCTGCTTGCCAACAGATGGAAGTTGGCACAGCAGAAGGGCACCAACCCTGTGGGAGATGCTCCAGTTGCTGGTTGGCTCCTGGGCTCAGTCCAGGGAACTGATGGATCAGCTGCTTGCTACCTTCGGCGCATCTACTCCAAACTCTCCCCTCCCCCCACTCAGATAATGCTGGCTGGGTGGGAGTCTGTTCTTCCAGAGCTGGGGTGGGGGCGTAACAGGAGGCAGCTCTTGTGAACGATGGCAATGGGATGAATTGCGGGTCTATGCAGCGGTGTTTTTGTGCCCTGCAAGCAGCCTGGAATCCTTTGAGGCAGCATACAAGGGGATGCACAATAAAGGTGTGTGTCTGTATTCCCTCTCTCTCTATTTTTGCATCTGTAGAAATGAATTTGTTGGCAACTACGCTAAGCAGCAGCGAAGGTGAGACCATCCAGAGGCCAAAAGCAGATGGCCTCTCAAGTTGTGGCTTTGCTGTTTTCAGAAAGTTCTACAAACTCATGAAAAGGAGAAGCGTCACATCCGCACGTTCACTTGTTGTGCATTTTCTGGCCTTCACTTCCCTGCCCCGGCTCCATGTTTCCTTCAGAGCTCCATGCTTGACATGCCATCTCCAAAGGACGTCCTTGGAGGGAGAACATCAAACACACCCTGCATCACCTCATCATCCCCTTGTGCTGCTCCTCGACCTGTGGCAGCCCACACGTTCTGGACCCTCTGGATGGGCTCACAAACATGCTCAAGCATCAATACCTTTGGCCTCGTCGTATGCACCCAACTGCTGCACCTTGTTTAATCTAGTCTCTTAGGATCCAAATGGAGGATCTCCACTAACTTGGAAATCCAGTGGCTAAATTGCTAAATTGCTGTTGGTCCCAGAAAACTTGCATTTCAGCCTTCCTGGGCAGCCTTCTCCAAGCGATGCCCTGCAGAGTTGTGGACGGGGACAGGGACACACCCACACCCACCCACAATCCATTCTCCGCCAAACTGCTCATCCGTGGCTGTAAATATGATGCAGTTTATCTTGGAGTAAATCACAGAAACTCCATTTGCACAGCAGACTCGCCCAAGGTCAACTTAACCATGGTTTCCCATAACATAGTCAAAGGTGGCTAGCTAGTTTATGGCTTGGTATAAAAAAGGGACTCTCTTAATTTTGCAGGATTTACCTTTCTGGGAGACGTGCCAAAGATGGCGCAGCAAACGGGCTGGGCAACCCCATTGGCATTCGGAGGGTTACAGATGCCACTGCAGCCCTCCAGAGACGGTGCCTGGGCATCTGGAAGAGAAGGAGAAGCAGCTGCCAGTTCCCCCAGCCTCCTGCGCTCTGCCTGGACTCCAAACTCTCTCCTGCACTTGGGCAGCCTGCTCTCCTCTGAAAGTCGCCTGAGCCAAGGTGGTGCAGTGCCACACACCAAACAAAAGCCGGGATCGCTCCCGCACCTTTCATTTCACACGCAGTGAGGGAAAACCAGCAGTAACCTGGACCACCATAACGGGGACTCCATGACGGTCTTCTGGAACAGAGGTCTCCAACCTTGGACACTTTAAGACTTGTGGAGTTCAATTCCCAGAGTTCCTCAGCCAGGAGGGGGTGAACGAGATCCTGAGTCTCACTAGGCTCCCTCCCACCAGGAGGCCCTTGGCCCCCAGCCCAGAGCAAATCTTATCTCTCCTTCCCTGCACTAGTACAGTGGCATGGTGGTGTCACCTCTAGGTGTGATTGGAAGGAGGTTTGCAAGCTGCGATTAAAGCTGAATCCTGCTGCTGTTGACCTCAACGAATGACTTGGAAGGAAACCCAGTTAGGCAATGGAACTGCAGAGAGGACAACTAAGTTATTTTTAAAAGAAGGTGGCCCCATTGTTGGTGACTGGGCTCTCTGGGGCAACCAGAGAGAAGCGTCACATCCGCACATTCTTGAGGGCTGCATATATCCCTGTGGAATCACAGACCAATGGCATGAAGCAATGGGGGAAGGGGGCAATTGGGCCTTTAGTCTGATCTAAGGCGGCTTAAGTTCCCAGAGACGAAGGCAAGCATAGAGCAGGGGGTCGCCAACCTTTTGGACCTCAGGGACTACCAAACTCATTGTTTTAAAACCCGCGGACCAGAGACCCTGGGAAAATCCCAAAAAGTCTGCAGGAAAATTCCCCACCCCGTTTTCCTACCGATCGATCATTCTTTGTCTGGGATCACAGGATACCATCTCCAGCTCCGGGGGGAGGGGAGAGAGAGAGAGACTTTTAGCTTCATGCAAGGAAAACAGCAGAAGCAGCAGAAGTCTTTCTTTCTCTTCCCCAAACTCCACCAGAAATGAGTCTTTGTGAGACTTGTTGTGCCAGCGCAGCCTCTTGGAGCCGGAGGCCTTGAGGTTCCCAAAGACTCATTTCTGGTGGAGTTCGGGGGAGAGAAAGGAAAACTTTTGCTGCTTTCCTTGTGTGCAGCCAAAAGCAGAAGAAGAAAGAAGCAGCCCAGTGGCCAGGCCAGGCGCGTGGGGCGAGTTGGGGCAAGTTCCCCCACTCTGCCCTTTTCCCACCTCCCCTCACTACCTTGTGTGGTTCGCAACGCAAGCGATGCAAGCCTTGTGTTCCCACGGGCCGTGTGGGTGGCGCAGCCTTGTGTTCCTGAGCAGCCTGGATTAAATGCTTTGGGGGTGGCATTTATCTGCGGATCACCAAAATTTTCGCACGGACCACCAGTGAGGGCTGTGAGTTGGTGACCGCTGCCATAGAGGGAGGATGCACCCCCTCCCCCAAGGTGGCAGTCAGAAATGGCATCTTCCCACCAGAACAATCTCTCTTCTGCCATCAAAGCACAGAAACACTTTTCAATCCCTGCGCCAAACAAATAAAAATAAATTATTATTTTTTTAAAAAGACAAATGGAAGTTTATAAAGTAACATTCTAACTTCTTTAATGCAGTCCAATCCAATAATTATTTTCTGCTTTGAAATCACTCGGTGAACTCTCTATTTATTTGCACGGGAGGTTGGTGGTACAAAAAAACATTATCTTCTAATTGAAACTGTTAAAACTTCTGGAGGTCTTTATGCATCAACCAACCAAGGGTGCTCTCTTACCTTCTTTTAAATTTAAGCTTATTTCTCCCACCCCCAACTTTCTTTCACTTTGCATAACTATATTATCCCGTAGACTTAAAAACAATCAACTAGGCAAGGTTTTAATTATGATACATCTAAAAAAAAATAATCCTACCCTAAATGACTGCTGCTTTAAGAGCTCTCAGTATAATTGCCTTGGAAGGCATCTCAGTAGCAAATCACTACAACAGGTCCTAAAATCATAAATGTAATAATAATAATAACCATAATTATAGGAGAGAGAGAAAGAGAGAGAGAAAGAGAGAGAGAGAGAGAGAGAGAAGGGGGGAACCAATGGCCATGTGTTGAGGATCAGAAAAACAAGCCAACCACACAAGTGAGGTGTCCCTGCACAAGGTCCTCCAGGAAACCGCTGCTATGCCCTCGGGGGGGATCTCGGGCAGCCTTCTGGTCAGCTTGGGATGTCTGGTGGCATCTCCTCTTGGTGGCATCTCTCTGCTTCTTGACAACTGCCCTGTCTTCTTTGAAAGGAAAACCGTGGCTGGCTTTGAGAATCTACGCCTCCCGTGAATTTTCCTTTCCAAGGAAACAGCCACGCTCCCTACCGGGTGCCACGGGGGACACGTGGCTGAGCAGAAGAGATGGCCAACGTGGGAATCCTGAGCAGAGAGAAAGGCCGAAGGGCAGAGGAGCGAGCGCTGGGCTCTTTGGCCAGCTGAAGCGGGGCATCTCCAAATTCTGGATCCAGCTTTGGGGGCATCTTTCTTGTTCACAGGGGTCTCTGCTAGCCTTCTGCTCAAGATCCCCGGCCCCCTAAACGTCCACCCTCGTGAAGGGGACTCTGCAGAGCGTTAGCGGGAACCTTGTCTCCATCCGGGGAAGGTTTTGGAAAGAAAAGAAAGAGGAGGAAGGGTGGGCACCTCAAGGGAATTTAAGTCAACCTCTCCCCACTCTAAAACTGCACCTGGCACCTCACAGCCTAGAAAATAAAAAACTGACTGCTGCTTCTTGAGAGCCGAGGCCGCCTCACTTTGCGTCTGGCCCCATCGCTTGCTGGTCGGCTTCTGGATCCACCAGAGACGAGGCAAATGCGGACTGCACGATCTGAAACCCAAAGGATTCCAGGAGAGACATGTTCTGTTGGGGGGAGAAAGGGGACCCCAAGGCGGAGGCCAAGTCCCCTAAGGGGGCCCCCAAGGAGCGGACATGAACTTTCTGTATGTGTTTGTTGAGATAGGACTTGGATCTGAAAAAGCTGCCACATTCGGGGCAGGGGTACTTCTTGTCCCCCTCTGACTCCAATTTGTTTTTGGTGACCACCATGTCACAGGAGAAGGAACCGTTGGCGTTCTGTTTCTCAGGCGTCTTGAGGTCGCTGGCGTCCGAGAGGTCTCCGTAGGAATCTGAGCTCTCAATCTGGTCCGAATGTGAGCATTTCTGGCCTTCTAGGAAGAGAAAGAAAATGGCGGTTTTCAAATCCGACAGGGGCCACCCGTCTCCCAGGGACGCCCCTCCTATTTCTTCTATCCCAGGCAGGGAGGGGGTAGTCTAGCTGAGAAGTGCGGCCGCACAGCTCTCCCTTGAGTAGCCCAAAGCATGAGCCCAGGAACTTTTGAACCTTGGCAACTTTTGAGTCTCACGAGCTTCAACACTCAGAATCCCCCAGACAGCAAGGACGGTTGGGGAATTCCGGCAGGTGAAATCCACAACTTGACAATCTTAAAGAGGGACACAGGCCACAATGGCCCCAAGGGGCTCTTAGCTAAATTGGCCCGATTCAAGTCCAGGGCAGATTCCAAACCTGGGCTAATCGCCTTTCGAGATGGCAACGTCATCAACGTGCAACAAAACGCCCAGGTTCCAATCGCTTTGCGAAAGCCTCGCCCCCTGGACTTATCCACTGCAGCTGCTGGCACCTTTATGGGCAAGGAGGGTGGGTCCACCTTGGTGTGAAAGTGCAACGGAAAACAAGGGACAGCCCCCACCCCCACTTCACAATAGAGAAGTGCAGCGTCCTGCAGGCCAAACGGTGAGGAGAAGCCGTCTGTGAGAATCTGACGGCAAGGAAAGTGGCCTGCAGACCCCAAAGGCTCAGCGGTTCCTCTGGCTGGAAGGCAGGCACACCGAGAGATGCAGCGGATGGGGGCCCCCTCCAGGCTCTGCCCACTTCTATCCAGGGTGGATTAAAAATGGGTTGTTGTTTTTTTTAAAAAAAATAAGGATTTTTATTTAAATTTGATTTTTTTTATATTTTTATCAAATTTATTTTAATAAAATGCTTTTGGAGTAAAAATCTACCTAGAGATAGTTTTCTGTTTAAGATACATTAATAATTTAGTTTATTCATCATGAAATGGAGCTTAGTTACGTAGCACGAGGCTGTATGTTTTGCAATACTGGGACTGTCAATGAGTCACAACAGCAGGTCAGAGGAGGAGATGCTGCGGGGCAGAGATGACAGTTGCCCTTTAAAAATTATTATTTAAATCAGGGGTGTCCAACCTTGGCAACTTTAAGACTTGTGGACTTCAACTCCCAGAATTCCTCAGCCAGCAAAGCTGGCTGAGGAATTCTGGGAGTTGAAGTCCACAAGTCTTAAAGTTG